TGTAGATCAAAATCCAGGTCAGGTTGGTGGGATTCTGTGTGCAGGTTCTCACAATCCAAAGGCATGACATCAGGTGGCCGGTACTTACCTGGAGGCCTGTGGGAAAGAACCCATCGCCAAGCTCATTCAGGTTATTTGCAGAATTCTGGTCTTCACAGGTCTAGGACTAAGGTCAATGCTTCTCACTGGCTCTCAGAGAGTTGTTTTTATTGCCCAGAACCTGTACATGCACATGGTCCCTCTATCTTAAAGCCAGAAATAGTATGACGAATACTCAGGATTCAAATCTTTCTCTTCTTGTTACCAGACAGAGAACAGTTTTTATTTTAGAGGACTCATGTGTTTAAGGTTAGGTATAAGCATGTAAGATCTTAAATGGCTTATAAACTTAATTACATCTGCAAAATGCCTTTCAGCCACATGATGAAACAAATACAGGAGAACATCCAAAATATTAACAGGCTGGGATTTGTGTGAGGAATTACAGGCAGCCATCTTAGAATCACAACGTTTAAAAATGTTCTATAACTTATCTGCATGTACTTCATCTCTCTTGATTAGAAACTTCCTGGTTAGACTGGTTTTATTTATGTTATTTATGTTAAAATGTAAATTTATTATAGCTTAGATCATTAGGTAATTATATTCTAAGTCACATTTTAATTCAGTTTGAAAACTTTGTTGGAAAGAGTAAATGCTCAGAAATTATTTAGTCATAAAAATTAACCAGTAAATGTCTTTTTTTATCCATATTTGTGAATTAATTTATTAGCTGAGGTAAGTATTCAACATGGAAGCAATTCTTTCAATATAAACTATTACTACATTATCATACAGTAAGTATATTGTGATGAGAACATTCCCATAAGATATTCCCATAAGAGAACATTTCCCAAAGCTGAAATAAGCTTTGAATCGCTTGATTTGCAAGAAAACACTAAATTCCTGTCCAAATTTCAGCTATACTAACTTTTTTATTATAAAAATATCCAATATCATATCAGCCCACATTAAAAGTTGATCTATTTTAGAAAAATGATTATTTACATTTGTAATAATCAGAGATCCATCAATGTCATGATTTGGATAATACAGAGATTCTTATCTGCCCATTCTTTCTTCCTTCTCATGTGTCCTCACAGAATAAAGAGTAAACCAGAATTCCCTTTTGGACCCTGATGACCCTTCACCCATAATCTCAGCTGGGAGTGATGGGGGAACTATGTAGGCAAGTGAATGGGCAAGAATAACTATTAAAAATTTTGGTCCAGGGAGGCTGAACTCAAATCTACCTCCTAAGCGGGTTTAGAAGCATATTGAGACTAGTAAGTGGAGAACAAAATGTTCATAACAGATACTTTTGTATAAAGGGTAAAAAGTAGCTGCCTGGGAAATACAATTTGAGTGTGTTTTGAAGGATTCTTGAGGTGTTTCTCAGACTGATTAATCTGCACTAGTATTATATGTAACTTGCATTAATCTTTTCAAAAAGTGGCTCTCATTCCAGTATAGGCTTTTTTGCATCTCCACAGCCAAAGCTGTGAAATCTAAGGTAGACCATAAATATATCACTTCCTAAAGATACATTTAGGTATTTCCATGGACCCTTGCATGTATGATATAAACATATTGTATTTTATATACAGTGGTCCAAGCACTCTTAAATCCATGTAGAGCTCTCTATCTAATCTCTATATTAATCATTTTCCCTGAAAAGTGGGAATAGTGGAACCAATATGCACCAGTTAAGAGTGAATTATAATAGAAATATTTGTTCTGTTTTCAATTATATCAAACAATGTTATAATATTTATGGTTCTTTTGCAATGTTTAGACATATTTGGATATGTATTATGTATAGCTGAAAAGTTATTCTGAATGATAACATCAAATTTGATGCTTTCAACTTCATTTCTACACATTAATAACTATTCATTGCTCAAGTGATAGTGGGAATTATATGTACTTTATTAAAAGTTATCAGGAAGAAAACTAAAAAGTGATTGGAAATATATGTGTTTTATCAAATCTCAAATATTTAATGCTCCATATTAAATACTACATTCCTTGATCTTGTAATGATATTCTTTAATTTTTAAATTTATCTGCTTCTGAAACTGCAGTCCTAAAGAGAACCAATGTCTACATTTTGAAAAAGCAGAATCTCTGAGTCACTCTCCTCCAGGCCCCCATCACTCCTTGTTTCTCAGGCTGTATATGATGGGGTTGAGCGTTGGGGTCAGGACGGTATATTTTTTAAAGTATTACAGGAACTCCAAATACTGGTTTGGTTATGATTAATATTATTTCCCTAAAAAAGCTTATATAATGTCAAGATATGTCCAGTGACATATTTTTTATTTTCCCTGGAGGATATAATTTCTATTCTTCAGTTTGAAATGAGGCAGTGAAATTGAAATCTCTACACAGTATTTATTTCTGTTTTTATAGGGATGTGCTGTATACCCCACAATCAGCTACATATACTTTCCAATAAATATATGTTCAGCATTACTCAGTGTGTGCCTTAGTGCCTACATTTCATTCTTTCAAAATTACTTTACAACCATTCTTTGTCAGAATATACCTTTTATATAAATGCAGTATTGCAAATGCCAACTTTGCAAAGAAGCCATCCCAGGGATTTTAAATATTCTTAACTGCATTAACTCCCACCCTCTATAATTTTTTAAGTGAACTACTCTAGTGGCCTATATCAGTTTTTTATTCCTGTGTGAAAAACCACTGTAAATTCAGTGTCTTAATTTAATGCTTATTTATTATCTCACAGTCATGTAGATCAAAATCCAGGTCAGGTTGGTGGGATTCTGTGTGCAGGTTCTCACAATCCAAAGGCAGGACATCAGGTGGCCGGTACTTACCTGGAGGCCTGTGGGAAAGAATCCATCGCCAAGCTCAATCAGGTTATTTGCAGAATTCTGGTCCTCAAAGTTCTAGGACTAAGGTCACTACTTCTTACTGGCTCTCAGAGAGTTGTTTTTAGTGCCCAGAACCTGCACGTACGTGCACATGGCCCTATCTTAAAGCCAGAAATAGCACGCCGAATACTCAGGATTCAAATCTCCTTTTCCTTCTTGTTACCAGACAGAGAACAGTTTTTATTTTAGAGGACTCATGTGTTTAAGGTTAGGTATGAGCATGTAAGATCTTAAATGGAGGTCAATCACTTATAAACTTACTTACATCTGCAAAATGCCTTTCAGCCACGTGATGAAACAAATACAGGAGAACGTCCAAAATATTAACAGGCAGGGAATTGCGTGAGGTATTACAGGCAGCCATCTTAGAATCACAACCTTTAAAAATGTACTATAACTTATCTGCATGTACTTCATCTCTCTTGATTAGAAACTTCCTGGTTAGACTGGTTTTATTTATGTTATTTATGTTAAAATGTAAATTTATTATAGCTTAGATCATTAGGTAATTATATTCTAAGTCACATTTTAATTCAGTTTGAAAACTTTGTTGGAAAGAGTAAATGCTCAGAAATTATTTAGTCATAAAAATTAACCAGTAAATGTCTTTTTTTATCCATATTTGTGAATTAATTTATTAGCTGAGGTAAGTATTCAACATGGAAGCAATTCTTTCAATATAAACTATTACTACATTATCATACAGTAAGTATATTGTGATGAGAACATTCCCATAAGATATTCCCATAAGAGAACATTTCCCAAAGCTGAAATAAGCTTTGAATCGCTTGATTTGCAAGAAAACACTAAATTCCTGTCCAAATTTCAGCTATACTAACTTTTTTATTATAAAAATATCCAATATCATATCAGCCCACATTAAAAGTTGATCTATTTTAGAAAAATGATTATTTACATTTGTAATAATCAGAGATCCATCAATGTCATGATTTGGATAATACAGAGATTCTTATCTGCCCATTCTTTCTTCCTTCTCATGTGTCCTCACAGAATAAAGAGTAAACCAGAATTCCCTTTTGGACCCTGATGACCCTTCACCCATAATCTCAGCTGGGAGTGATGGGGGAACTATGTAGGCAAGTGAATGGGCAAGAATAACTATTAAAAATTTTGGTCCAGGGAGGCTGAACTCAAATCTACCTCCTAAGCGGGTTTAGAAGCATATTGAGACTAGTAAGTGGAGAACAAAATGTTCATAACAGATACTTTTGTATAAAGGGTAAAAAGTAGCTGCCTGGGAAATACAATTTGAGTGTGTTTTGAAGGATTCTTGAGGTGTTTCTCAGACTGATTAATCTGCACTAGTATTATATGTAACTTGCATTAATCTTTTCAAAAAGTGGCTCTCATTCCAGTATAGGCTTTTTTGCATCTCCACAGCCAAAGCTGTGAAATCTAAGGTAGACCATAAATATATCACTTCCTAAAGATACATTTAGGTATTTCCATGGACCCTTGCATGTATGATATAAACATATTGTATTTTATATACAGTGGTCCAAGCACTCTTAAATCCATGTAGAGCTCTCTATCTAATCTCTATATTAATCATTTTCCCTGAAAAGTGGGAATAGTGGAACCAATATGCACCAGTTAAGAGTGAATTATAATAGAAATATTTGTTCTGTTTTCAATTATATCAAACAATGTTATAATATTTATGGTTCTTTTGCAATGTTTAGACATATTTGGATATGTATTATGTATAGCTGAAAAGTTATTCTGAATGATAACATCAAATTTGATGCTTTCAACTTCATTTCTACACATTAATAACTATTCATTGCTCAAGTGATAGTGGGAATTATATGTACTTTATTAAAAGTTATCAGGAAGAAAACTAAAAAGTGATTGGAAATATATGTGTTTTATCAAATCTCAAATATTTAATGCTCCATATTAAATACTACATTCCTTGATCTTGTAATGATATTCTTTAATTTTTAAATTTATCTGCTTCTGAAACTGCAGTCCTAAAGAGAACCACTGTCTACATTTTGAAAAAGCAGAATCTCTGAGTCACTCTCCTCCAGGCCCCCATCACTCCTTGTTTCTCAGGCTGTATATGATGGGGTTGAGCGTTGGGGTCAGGACGGTACAGATCACAGTCAGTACTTTACCCTCTGTTGGAGTTCGGAGGGATCTTGGGCACAGGTAAGTGTCAGCAAGGGCCCATAGTAGGAGGTCACCATGGCGAGGTGGGTGCTGCAGGTGGAATAAGCCTTCCTCCTCCCTTCGGGTGAGGGCATGCAGTGGGCAGCCAGTAGGGCACGGCCATGGGAACGTGCAAGCCAATGAGAGGGAACACAATCCAGAGAGTGGTGCTCAGAGACACTGTGTGCTCGTAGACCCAGGTGTCCGTGCAGGCCAGAGTCAGCGTGGCTGGGACATCACAGATGAAATGGTTGGTGGCCCTGGATGGGCGGTAAGGGATATGGAGGATATGCGTGGTGTGGACACAGGACTTGATGGAGCCCATTATTCAAGTTCCTGTTATCAGCAGCACACACACTCTGTTGCTCATAAGGATGGGATAGTGGAGAGGAAAGCAAATGGCTACATAACGATCATAGGCCATAGATGCCAGTAGTAATCCTTCTGCAGCTGCTAAAGGCAAGAACAAGGAGCTCTGAACCCCACAGCCTACTGAGGAGATGGACATGTTTCCAGAGAGATAACTGGAAGCCACCTCAGGGACGATGGTGGAGATGCGGCTCAGGCCCATCAGGGAGAGCCGGCTCACCAGGAAGCACACGGGAGGGTGGAGGTGGGTGTCCAGGAGGGTCGGGGGGATCACGGAGAGGCTGCCCGGCAGGGCCACCGGGAAAATGAGAACAATGAGAACGAAGAGGAGCAAGCCAGCTGAGGATTGTGATTGTAATTCTCCATATTTCACTCATTTAATTGTTCCTAAAAACAGGTGTACATTAAGGTAAATACAGTGTAATAAGCTTTTTTATTGAGGTATAGTTCATATAAAATATTATACTGGCTTCAAATACACAACATAACGATTCAACATTTATATGTATTTTTAAATCCTCATCCCAACTAGTTTAGATAACATCTGTCAATATAGAAAGATGTTACAGAAGTACTGACAATATTCTCTGTGGTATACTTTCACCCATGACTAATTTACATATTATGAGAGAGATTTTGTGCCTCTTTACCCCTTTCCCCTAGTTTACCTCCCCACTCCACCCTTCCCCCATTCCAACCAACAGGAACTTCTCACTGTCTCTGAGACTACTGCTATTTTGTTCATTTTATTGTCTTTTCTGTCTCTTTCAATTTTCCTTTTTAATTTCATTTATTTAAAACTCTTTAAACAATCAGATAATTGTGGGAATTTAGCACATATGTCAGGCCTCTGTCATTAAACTAACATTATAATAAAGAAATAAATATGTTATAAATGTAAAGAAAGTGTGGAAGGGAGAAGAGGGGGGATCCAAGGATAAAAAGAGTTCAGTCTTTTGGAAGAAGGAATTTTGGTTAACAGTCATGTAAACAGAGAAAAGAGGAAATGGCGTCCTTAGGGTCTTCTGAGAAGGAATGAGCCTGTGGATTCTCTTCCAGAGGCAATAACAGCAATATGTTAGCATAAGAATCTTGCAATATGTCAGTTTTTAATTATTTTCCAGGATCAAAGACAATCATACTGATGAGGATGTCTCCGAATGTATGACAGAGGTCACACATACACCACATAATGACAATACACCTTTAAAAGAAAATTGCTATGTTCAGAAAAATATAAGGAGTTGTTAATTCTACATTATTAATAAAATGTGTGATATAAAAGGGTAATAATAAAAGACTTCTGGGAATCAAAAACAAAAGATCGACATTTTGAAAACATAAGAGAATTAAAGAATTGAGATAAGATGGCCCAACATATGCTTATGAGCATTCGTAAAAATGCATATGACATAGAAATCATGGAGTGAATATTATTAAAGAAAGCATTATCTCAGAATAGTTACACATGAGCTAAAATACTCAAATACAATGTAAAAGACAGAAAAATAAGGAAAAATAATTTATTAAAGAAAAGTTTTCTGAAGTCTAAATAATGTCTTAAAAAAGAATATTGTTGGGAATTATCAACATTAGTTA